TCATACTGAACGAGGCTTAAAACAACACCATGAGCGCACGACACAACACGGGGCACAGTGAGAGCTAACGAAGAGGGACTGACGTGAAGATTCCCTCCCCACTGGGATGAAAACCAGCTCCCTTGGGTGAACGTGAGAGGCGATAATGCGTGGCGGGCGAGTCACCTCGTCCCTTGGACCTTTGGAGTGCCCGCCGTTGCCGTGACATGAGACGCTGACTTGCTCTGGCACGGGGGTTGCTTCGTGACGTAGCTCAGGTTTTAGTCACTGTCTCAGGGATTATCAGCGTGACTATTTAGTTTCTTCGACACTAAAACCTGACCGACTATTCTCTCTCTCTCTCTCTCTCTCTTCTCTCTCTCTCTCTCTCTCTCTCTCTTCTCTCTCTCTCTCTCTCTCTCTCTCTCTCTCTCTCTCTCTCTCTCTCTCTCTCTCTCTCTCTCTCTCTTCTCTCTCTCTTCTCTCTCTTCTCTCTCTCTCTCTCTCTCTCTCTCTCTCTCTCTCTCTCTCTCTCTCTCTCTCTCTCTCTCCCAAACGCAATTCTGGGAAGTACGGCGTGAAACAGACGTGACACTAATCCATAATAACTTCAATTGTATACGTGACATGAAAGTTTAAAAAAATCATATTGTCATCCATCAGAGCAATTCGAGGAACGAATGGCAGAGCGAGAGGATTCACATACTACGCATTATTTTCTACTCCAGGAAGGCTCCATACAATAAAAATAAATTTAATCTAACACGCTGTAAATTCTATTGAATTACAATAAGTCCACCGCCTACTCTCGAAGAGACGTTACTTTATAGCCACATTCACAGCAACTAACATCGTGGGTTATATTCGCAAAGGAAATACTACAGCGTCGACCTAAAGCTTTGTTCTGAAATTTTACAGGGTTGCTTTGGATGCTATTTGACTACATTCTGAGTTTAAAACGTGACACACGAAGGAAGAGGAAGAGACTGCTATTTACCATTAGCGAGGTCCACACTCTCCAGGTCGCTGTAATCCGTGTCAATGACCTGGTTGGGACCCGGAGGACGCTTGAGGTGAGGCCCAATACGCATCCCCTTCTGCGGTACTGTGTTGGCGTTGTCTTGGAGGGCTGCTGAAAAAATGCGAGTCGGTTAATAAGAACTACTGACACATGCAAATAAATGATAAATGCAAATAAATCTATTTAAAGGCTAAATATTTAAAACTGAATAATTCCAATCATTTTCATATTCCGATTACTTCCTTCTACTATAGATCAGAGATTCTTAATGTTTGACTTCGCTTATAAAGAAAAGGTATCTGTCTATGGACTGACCTAGCCTGGAAACGTGCAAAGAAGGTGGCACTGTGCGGGTTTGGTGGAGGCCTAGTCCTCTCATGTAGCCATACTGCGAAGCCCTCACCAGCGGCTGCATGGGCTTGATATTCAGAATGACTTCGTCGCCCTCTTCTCCCTCGGCCTTCTCCTCCACCTGCACAAAACAGGAGAAAAATAATTGAACAAATTGTCGAACCATTGGAAATGGATATCTTTAATATTTACAATAACAATATATTCTGAATCCCTAATGCAGTTGCATTACAATCTGAAAAGTTAAAACTGTTATAAGAAAGACAATTTAAGTAAATGGGCTTTTTGCATCTAATATATAAAGCGAAGTAGCCTCTCTCATCGCCAGCCACTTACCTTTCTCATGTGAGTCTTCAGGTCGGAGACGCTGTCGTCCTCGGAACTCGTGGGCTTGTAGATAACGGAGGAGTTGCCGGAGGAAGTGCTGTTGCTGTGGCCGCTGTTGCTCTGGGAGGACTCGCTGATGTTGGAGCCCGATTCGGAGGGCGTGACCATGTCCTTCTCGCGTGGGTTGGGCATGGGACTCACCATCGCCACGCTGATGCCCGTCGCGGAGTCCTCCCGTCTGCCCAGCTGCTTTTGGCGCGGCAGAGAGCCCTTCGGGTCGCGGCACTCTTGAGCTGCGTTGGCCTCCCCACCCGAGGGTGTCCCTGCCGTCCGCGGAGCGCTGCTGCCTCCGATTTTAGGCGTGGAGGGCGTGCCTGCGGGCCGGACCATCTTGTTGTAGTCTTTGGCCTGATGGGACGTGTTGACGTTGGGCGAGGCGGTGGGGGTCGGGGGCGCAGACCGCTCGGGGGGCACCACCTTGGTCTGGCCCTTCACGTGGGCCGTGGGCTTCGGGATGCCCGTGCCTGGAGTGCCTGGGGGGAGGGGGCTGCCGGGGGTCGTCACGACAGTCTGCTGCTGCATTGCTGGGGCCTGATCCTGGTGGCTGCTGTGGCTGTGCTCCTTGTGGTCCTTTTCTTTGGGCGGTAGAGCGGGTGGCTGGTCTGACTCTGAGGCTGCGTGCCCTGCGGTCTCCGGCCGCGGACCCGGCGCAGGGGGCCGGGAGTCCTTCTCGGCATTGGCTGGCAGGGGGCACTGGGGGCGCTGGGGGCGCGAGCCGCCATCCAACTCGAGCGTGAGCTTGTCGCCCTTTTTGGCGCTCCTGTCGCGACTCTCTCCGCGAGGGTCTCGGTGGGTCTTGTGACCTCCCCGCGGCGACCCTCGGGACCCCTCCCGCTCCTCGCGCTCCTTGTCCTTGCGCGACGCCTTGGGCGACTCCTTGCCCTCCTTGCCCGCAGACTTGGAAAACTTGGACCTGGAATCAAGATAGTGTTAGCTACGTGTTGCAGGGCGACAGGCTGTATCCTTGTTTGATTAAGGGTCTGAAACATTTAATATATCGGTAATAACATAACCATAATAGAGGCAATGACAATGATAGTGATAATAATGATGATGCAATAATAATAATAATATCAATAACAACAGCAACATTAATAATAAATGAAGATAATAATAATAATAACAATAATAATAATAACAATAATAATAATAATAATAATAATAATAATAATAATAATAATAATAAGGAGTTTATAAAAGTAGTATTAGTAGTAGTAATAGCAACACTAATAATAAACAATAATAGTAGCAATAACAATAGCAATAATAAAAATAACAATTATAATAATGAAGTTGCTGTTGTTGTTGAACATGATGATAAATGATAATAACAATGATGATGGGAATAAATAATTAAAATAATAAATAAATAAATAAATAATAAGGAAAAACGACTACAACAACTTTGATAACAAAATAACACCTGCGGAAGCAATCAAATGAAAAAGAATACCCTGATGGTGACGCCCAGCGAGAACACCATCACACGGCGAGAACACACCTGATGCCCCGAAGGCCCTGCGGCTTGGTGGAGGCGGGGGGCGCTCCCCCCTGCTGCGCCTCCGCGTGGCTCGTCTGATCACTGCTGCTGCTACTGGTGCTCACAGGCAAGCTGCGGGCGTGGGGGCGTGCTGTTAGTCATTTATTGGGCGTAGGGCGTACAGTTACTCGTGGGCGTGTTCGAGGTTTATATGTGGGCGGGGTTATGGCTAGGTGTAGCTGGAGTTATGTGCTTTGGTCGGTGTCTTTGGGGGACTATGTACATTTTGTGGGAGAAGCCTTGCTCACGGCGTAAGCTGGGTGCCTTTATATCTAGGTTTTAAGGTACAGTTTGTGTTATGCATTCGGTGTGGGGTGATGTTATGTTTTTATCGTTATTATTAAGAAAAGACTAAGCTAAAATTATGACCTTCGCCTTATATACAACACGCATAAGAAGTAATACATCGTGATCCCTTGTCTTAGTGATTCTCAGAATGGTGATGACTTTTATGTATTTTATTATTTAATGACTACCTTCGTAGGGCTAAGAACCTTGTTATATTTACGAGTCCGAGAAATCCTAGGAAAGCATCGCTTCTTGGACTCTTCTCACTGAATTTTACAGATCAATTCAGTCTGCGACATCCATTTAGGAAAATTCGGAGCGAAGAAACAAACACTTCCATGTATCTCCCATAATAGCCAATAATCAAAAAAATAATTAAAGTATATGCAAAAGCTATTAACTTCTCCTGCGTTGCCAAAGATACATAACGGCGCAAGGTAATTCCACATACAATGTAATCTGTGAATCTGTTCCGTGACGTGACTACCGTGACTCACACATCATTACTCCATATCCTGCCTTATTCAAGCGGGCCTGACTCGCTCCGTAATTAGAGCAATCTGCCGGAATTACCTTTAGACTATGTACACTGCAATTAGTACCGTGTTAACGTTAGTCTCTCTCCACTCCTGTACAGAACCTAATTTTCTCTCACCCATTCACACCTTAATTACCCTTTCGTTCGGGTTATCATTCCACTCTCACTTCTTCCATGACACAGACCCTCTCTTCCGACGCGGGCGAAGGGGACGTTACCTTTGGTGCGGCGGCAGCGGAGGGGGCTTGGCGTCGGAACACAAGCTGGTCGACGAGTCAGAGCGCTCGGACCTGGCGCTGCTGAATCCGCTGCTGCTGCTCGTTCGTTTGCTCACCCCGCTGCTGCCTGCGAGGGAGAGGGGGAGAAGGAGGGTCAGTTAGTGGACGTCGTTTAAAAGGAAGGTGGCAGAATGGGAAGTGACGTAAGTTTCCGGTGCGCGATGTGACGGTGGTGTGATGTGGTGAATTTTTGACTGCAGCGTCTGAAGCGGCGTACGGGGGTGATGGCGATGGGCAGAGTGGAGTGGCGATGTGGTGGATGTGGCGAATGCTTGGAAAGAGAGGGAATAGAAGGAGAAATAAAATGTGATCTCTAACTGCAGTTGATATCAGAAGACGGAAAAAAATGTTCCTGAGAGAAAGACAAAGATGTGGCGTGGGCTTGATTCATAACGGTCGGGGGGAGTGGGAGCGTGATGAGGTGGGAATGAGTAACTTCTCACAGATCGCGTGTCGAGCGGTCATGTTCCCGGAGGAGGAGGGCCTATGCGTCACTTCACGCAATTACACCTAACATGATTTTGGTTACACTGACCGCTCAGCTATCGGCCAAAACAGATAATACAGATGCAAATAAAAATACATGCACTGAGTGCATACGTATCAATATCAAAGCAT